GTTCTCTCTCTCGGAAAACCCCTCTCCTCGAAAAGAAGACAACATTGTCACTCGGTCTGTAGAAGAGATACCCAAAGGACTTATGTGGGTAGCCGATGAAAATACATCACTCACTACGAGGTTCGAGCTTGTCGTGAGTCTCTCATCTTACGAAATCCTCGCAACCCCAAACCTTGATATGTGCTAACGAGGGAACCTTCCATGTCCACATTTCGTGAGGTGTTTTGGCAGCCTTCGTAGTTGGGACTAGATTAAGGATATGGGCGGCAGTCTCCAAGGCATACCCCCAGAATGAGATAAGTAACAAAGCTTGACTCATCATGGAACGGACCATGTCCAACAAGGTCCGATTGCGCCTCTCGGCCACACCATTCAACTGCGGTGTCCTAGGTGGAGTCAACTATGAAACAATTCCAGATTCCTTAACATAGTCGTGAAACTCGATACTAAGATACTCACCACCTCGATCGGATCGGAGTATCTTTATCTTCCTGCCCAATTGATTATCCACTTCCTACTTAAACTCTTTGAACTTTTCAAAGGTTTCTGAATTATGCTTGATTAAGTAGATATAGCCATATCTAATGTAATCATCAGTAAAAGTCACATAGAAGTGGTTAGCATCCCTTGTGGCGGATCTGAAGGGTCCATACACATCGGTGTGTATGAGATCCAACAAACCCTCACCCCTCTCACAAGTACCAGTGTAGGGTGACTTGGTCATCTTTCCAAGCAAACAAGATTCGCAAGTGTCATCCGACTTTAGGTCGAATGACTCCAACACACCAACCTTTTGGAGTTGGCCTATGCACTTCTTGTTGATATGTCCAAGACGACCATGCCACAATCATGCCTTGTCCAAACCATTGGACGAATCAATATTCAACACATTATTTCCTAAGTTATCTACAACCATCACAATTTCATATATACCATTACAAGGCAATGCTTTAAAATAAAATACACCATTATAGAAAGCATTAATAGAACCAATTTCATTATCAAATGAAAATAAAAAACCTTGTTTATACAAACCATGAAAAGAAATAATATTTCTCGCCATATCCGACACGTAGCAACAATTATCCAACTCTAAATTTAACCCACTACTAAGCAATAAAGAGTAAACTCCAATCTTGGTCACATACAATACTTTCCTATTCCCCATGATTAAGTTTATCTTCCCGTGCTCCACATCCCTACTTCCTTTTAGTCCCTGCAAATCGGAACAAATGTGAAATCCACAACCTGTATCAAGGACCCAAGAATTAGCATGTGATGAGTTATTAGATACAATAGTGTAAATACCTACGAAGGTGGGTTTTATCTTCCCATCCTTAATGTCCTGCAAGTATTTGGGGTAGCTTCGTTTCCAGTGCCCTTTTTCATGATAATGTAAGCACTCTGCTTCATTTGGATTGGAAGAAGGTTTTGCAGAACCACTTTTGGTCCCACTTGAAGAGGATCCATCATGGGACTTTCCCTTGTGGCTCTTGGAAGGAGCCTTCCTCTTCTTTCCTTTCCCATGTCCAATTGCCAGAATAGGGGCAACAACAATAGGAGTGGGTACAACAACCTTGCCTTTCAAATTACTTTCTGCAGTTCTTAGTAGGCATTGCAGCTTGCTCAGATTGACTTCTTCTTTGTTCTATGATAAGTCATTATGAACTGATCATAACAAGGAGGCAAAGAATGTAGGATGATGTCAAAAGCCAACTCTTCATCAAAGTTCACATTCAACTTCAGCAAGCGGTCCACAAACCTCTGCATCTTTTGCAAATGGGTCGTGATGGACTATCCATCCTTCATTTTTGTTGTGATCATGGAGGCAATGATCCCATACCTTTCCTACCAAGCACTTTGATGGTACCTTTCCATCAAATCGTGGTGCATCTCGAAGGGCCAGAAGTCCTCATAGGACTTTTGAAGCTCGGCAGTCATGGTGGCAATCATAATGCACGACACCTTTGTCGCGTCCCTCTCATGAACCATGTATTCCTCTATTTGGTCGGGAGTAGCAGTTTGTTCATCAATCTCCTTTAGCTTCTTTATCGAGGACATATTCTTTGTTCTCGTAGCGAAGGGCCATACGAATGTTTCAAATCCAATCGTTAAAGTTTGACCCATCGAAGATAGTTCTCCCAACCAAGTTCATGAGGGAGAATGAGCTAGAAGGGTTGGAGCCTGAAGCATTGTTTGAGATAGACATCTGAAATAGAAAAAGAACAAAGTTTAGATTAGATAAGAATCCTTAATATAACACCCAAATGAAATATTAAGGCTAGGACCCAACACAATATTCTACAGTTCGGAAGAGGGATGTCGTAATCCAATTGCAAAATATTTGAAGGTAGGTAAATGACGATTTACCAATTTCCACCATGAAAAACAAAATTGATTATTAAGATTTAAAGGAATTGAAATTACTATATTCTTTGAGATTCATTGAACTTTTCAATGACATGTTGAAATCTCGAATATGCCCTTCAAGTTTGTGACTGGGATACTGAGGATCACAAACAAGGTGTGAATAACCATGCAAATTGTTTGGTACTCTTGATGTCACTTATCACCTAATCAATATGCCGGTTAACCACACACACTCCATTGATCTATGAAAAACATCAAGCTACCCTTTTCCACCCTTGTTAGTCCAAAATTAGTATGTCGGTCAACCACACACGCTCCACTAATGACTTGGCAAGGTGCAAAGTGCAATTTAATGGAATAGCACCATTGTCACATTTTTTCCTAAAGTAACTAAGATTGGGAATTTTATTAAAATCATTTAGTTACTTTATAATATCATTATACTTATTAATGAGGATTAATCTCCTATCCTACCCGTTCGACTAACGACCCTCCACCACTCAAGGAAACGGTGGGTGAGAGTGGACACCCATTAAACCACCATTTTATAGGCAGTAACCTTATACCCCCCTTATAGACCGGCTTTGTGAATGAGGCCTACTAATGGTAAGACTGACTTGTCTTATACATGTATATAATTATTAAACTTTTAATATTATAATAGTACAAGGGTTGAATTTTAAACTTTTAAAATCCTAAGGTTTGGAATTAAATGTTTCATAAGTGAGACTTTACAAACTCCAAAAACTTGAGGGCAAATTTTTGTAACTCTTCAGAACTTTTGATATCCATAACTTATGAGTTTTAATGTTCATGAATGAGACTTTTCATATTTCATAACTTGAGGACAAGTTATGAAACTCTCTTCAAAAACAATTTAGATCAATTTTAACTTATTCAATTATCATAGAATTTGTTATCAAGTTGATCTAATCTAACTCATATAACAAGGCAATTCATATCAAATAATACAAATAATTAACTTATTATCTTAAAATTTGACAATTGTCCTTTAATTGGATGAGGATAATCATTACCATATCAGAAAACACGAATTTTATGATACAAAACAGTTTGTGGTAATGTTCCTAATCCAATTCTGGCCAAAAGGATCGAAAATATGCAAGCAGAAGGTTCTACTCGACGAGTGCATGAACTGGACTCGTCGAGTTGCCAATTTGTGAATGAACTCGTCGAGTCAAATCATTGGACTCGTCGAGTTCATCAGTCAGAGGCCAGAAATGTGACTTTTTCAGCTTTGAAAAAAACAACCAAGCATCAATATAACAGAAAACAATCCTAGGCTCTGATACCACTGATGGGTTTTGAGCACTATAACACTCCCATGGTGCACATGCAACCCTAGATGCTTTGGATCTAAGTTTTCTCTAATTATACATGCAATTTCAATTTTCCAAAGCATATACCCTAACTAGCATGCAACTGAAGATATACAACATAAAATCAAATTAGATGAATACCTCTTAGTGTAGCTTGTAGTTCTTGGCCTTTGAAAGCTTTAGCACCTCAAGTTTGATGCCTCTAATGTGTCACAAACATTAAATGCACGAGGAGGCTTATGAGAAGAGGCTAGGTTGCACCAAAATCGGTTATGGTTCTTCTTTTGAATGCATGGGACCGATTTTAGGGGTTAAGGGGTTGCTTTTATATTGTGGAAAAGACTAGGGTTTCATCCATGCAAACCCTAATTCACCATGACCCTTCATATTTCTTAGGCCCTATGGGTTAAACCTTCATGGACTATCATATAGGTTTAGCCTATCCCTAATCAACCATGGATCATTGGCCCAAACTATAAGTATTACTTATTAACTTAATCAGTCCCCGTAAATTTAATCAGTCTCATTTTGATCACTAAATTAATTCCAAATTAATTCTTGATCAATACTAATTAAATAATATGATTTATCAATTAATATATTATACTTATAATATATTAATAAATCACAAATAACCTCTTTCTCAAAAGTCCATCCTATCAAATTGCTCCGGTGAAGGCAACCCAAAAGGACCATGCTACTATCGGGTCAAGTACATACCAATTATAGTTATGGGCTTAGACACCTAATCCAACACTTACAACGTGTGTTTAGGACACACATTGTGTATCATTAACGCCCCTATCATAAATGAAGATGACACGCATTTGCGTGTCATAAACTTCAACATCCATTTATGACGTGCCTTTACGATACTAATTTACGCGTAATACATTATGGAAACAAATATATACCAAAACAATCAATTTCATCCAATAACATCATGTCAAAAAATTGTAAGACATTGATATTAAGGGGATCTGATTATACATTGTTATTAAGAGGTTTTCCCTAACTATATAACCTAATACTACATTGCTATTAAGGGACACCTTCTGCAATGTAATGCTATACAAATTAAAAAGATATGCACAAAGGTGATAAACATCAAATTCCAACTAAGTAGAGTTGCATCTTGCCTTTCATAATTCTTTAAGACTAATGAACCCCTGCTCCAATAATTCTTGTGACCTGATCAAATAAAAGTCAAAAACTTAATATGCTAATATAATTAATAGAATAATCAAACAAGGAATGTTAGTTGCAAATACTTGTGTCGGATGTGAGTGGTCAAATGAGGGAAAAGTGAACATCTGCAAGCTTTTTGACACCAACCTACACACAAGCACATATATATCAGCACAAGTGCAAAAATAAATAAATTAATAAATAAATAATTATGTTCATTACAATCAAATACTTGATAAGTTGTGTAACCACATATTAGAGCAGAACCTCTTGGTCCCATCCCATGTTCTTGAACGCCTATTTATAGAAAGATGTCATGTAATGTTATCACAAATTAGAAGCACTAGTACGAAAAGTTAGGTAAATAAGGAAAGATAAAAGGGTAGATTAAGCTGGTATGGCATCCAACTATATATTTTTTTTGTTTATTTTCTTTGCCAATGCCAATTAGGACACTATGCTTAGGAAAATGATTCTTTGGATCATTTTGTAAATTGGATTTTGAATATATGGTTAGCAAGTGCTGATGTGGGTGATAATCAACACTAAAATTGTAAATGCAGTGGCATATTTAACATATAAATGATAGTTTACTCACTTAATTGGCATATTTATCAAAAATATTGTACATGTGTATACTGACTAGATAACCAGTTACCTGAGTAACTTCAATACTAAAAACTGTAAGCACGGTGACATATTTAACATAAAATGTTAATTTAGTGACTTAATAGGCAATGAAAATAGTTTTTTAGCCAAATTAATGAAAATGAGACATTTTGTTGCTATACTACCAGTCAAGTAATCCAAGATAAAAGAGTTAACATGAATTTCACCTGGCAGCCTTGGCAACCAGGTGAAATGGATCATTAAACATTCCTAGAAAATAGAAGTAGCTTTCTCAATTGCTTAAAGCATGACCCTGATTCACTTAATATTTGCATTGTCACATGTAAGGTCATCACCTGTGAAATTGATCATTAAACATTAGACATCGCTTGAATTCTAAATTGAACCATTAACAATTTAATATGATCCAAACTATGCATGAAGTATCGTGTGACTTGTGTTCAACCAAACCATTAATCAATCAATACATGACACTCTGCACGCACCACAAAATATAGAATTCAGGTGCATGTCGAGTGTCGACATTTAATCATTCATATGACTTGGAAAATTATCATAAAAAAATGTGCATGAAGTTTCCATATACATGCTCAGAAAGGAAAAAAAAGGAAAAAAATAATAATAAAATTATGCAACCAAAAGAATTACAAAATTCACATTTCACATAGATTGGAAGTGCTATAACTTGAAAGGTGGAAAAATTGTACCAAAACTGGGAACATCTTGGAGCCATCTGTGAAATGTAGACTCTGTAATGTCTATCTCAACAGAAGCTCTGTCCCATTGGCGAATATCGCCGAACACCTTGAAAGCATGGTCAATTTTGGGTTTAATTTCGAAGGGGCAACTAGAGTAGTGAATAGGTCTTAGAGACCACAAGACTTTCATAGACTCTAGAATCTAAGTGATGTGAATATGAGTTTTCCCCTTTCATGCTACTCCCAATAGCCAAAACACCAGGTGAATGGAGCTGAAAAGAAAGAAAATAATAAAATTATGTTTTCATTTATTTCTATATTTAATACTTTAGGTGAAAAAAAGGACCCATACCTGGGAAAAGAGGGTAGCAGCTTGACATGTATCTACCATAATCAACAGTTCCTTGAACCTAAAACATGAACACATAAAGTCACAAATCTACAACCAATGACAAAAGAGATAACATAACACTCAAATGGGTACTTATGACCTACTCTTTTCTTTCATTTGTTTGACTGCATCAACCAAATCATGACTCTGAAGTTAATCAGAATCTTGAAATTTCAGAAACTCATCTCCTCCATGTCCTGTCATATATAACAGTATATGGCTTCCTTCATCACTCAAAAGACGTTTGGATCAAGAGAAAGAATCTTGAAATTTCATGGCGACCTGTTAAAACTCTCAAAAAGTTCTCAACTGTCACTTCATAACCTCGATAGTCTACCTGACATAGCAGTGAACTAAAATCAGCACATCTTCTCTAAAAACAGCTATGTAAATAAGCAAAGGGTTGTAAATTAATTGGACACAAAAGTTGACCTCAACATTATCTCCATACAAATTAAGCCTATGATTTTCATTGTTGAAAACTTGTGCAGGGTATTTGTTTCGAGAATTGCAAGCCATGTCATCCGCTAACATAAGAATGATCTTCTCATCAGGTATCCCTAGTCATTTCACAATCCTATAAAAGAAGATTAAGAGAACGAATGACAGAGAAATGTCAATAGGGTGTTAACTATAAATAAGTCTACATAAATATAAGATTTTGATGAAACACCACATACCTATACAAGGATAAAGTGTCAACAGGGATGCCAATTTGTGAAGCATAAACTGCAACTTTTACTTTAGCAGTCATACCACCTCTTCCTAACCTAGACATATCACCAAAAGTAATTGTATTCTCCAGTTTTTCTGTCAAGCTCAGCTTGTTAGTTACAATTTACCTGCTGTTGATTAATTTCCGTTCATCAGTCATTTTTATCTCACAAATAATCAAACACTTTCTGAAACTATTTGTTCATTCCTACCATGAAAATTTCAAAGCATGAAAATAGCACAAATAATCAAACACTTTCTGAAATATAAGTAAATGCATGTTGTCATGGAGCTCGTGTTGGAGTTGGAGTTGGAGTTGTAGTTGAAGTCTTGGTTATTAGAAGGTAGGCTTCTTTCAACAAAGTTCAGCTGTTGAACAACTACATGCCACCATTTACAAGTATTTAGAACAGAGAAACATATGATACGTTAAAGCATGGAACAAAAAAGGTTATCAAGAATGACAATAGTTAGTGAATTACAATGTAACCTTATAGTAGGTTTGCTGTTGCCCATCATCACTATCAACTGTATCTGAAACAATACGACCTGATACATATATTTGTTTTCCCTTCTCCACATGTTGAGAAGCAATATGTGCCAAATCATCCCAAAACGTTAAATTGATCCTAAAAATGACCATAAACGTTCAAAATCTGGATCATTGTAGCTAAACCCCCAAACACAAAACACGAATCAAGCACTAACTTCAAACGATTCCGTCCTACCAACATACTTCAATTTTGAAACCGTAAACCAATGATATCAATGAATTTATCCAATAATTTACCAGGTAGTATCGGTAGACGATTTTTTGATGGCAAGGCGACACCAAGCGAGGACTTTACCGGAGCTAAGTTGCTTAAATTCAACCGAAGTACCAACGTTTCTTCTAAGTTGAACGGAGTTACACAACTCCTTCGTTCATGGAAATTCAGTAGGTCTAGGGTACTGATTGCAGGTACAACATCATGTTCTTCCCCCTTGAAGTCCAGCAACGATAATGGTGCCCTAGGGTTCCCGATGTTAATGACACAACTCCGATTTAGCCTCCTGTTGGTGTTGCTTTCCTTGAGATTCCTGGGATCGTTGTATCATCTTCTCAATAGATTGAGGCATTTCATTGAGTAACTCTTTCATGGCTCTCGAGAGGTCCTTCATCTCTTTATCTTGAGCATAATTTCGTTATCGATATACATTTACACAACCCTAAACCCTCGATGGCTTTTTTGGTGGTTTGGTGTTGACTATAGCTACCGTTGACTTCGTCGGACGTTGCAGAGAGCACTCGTGTAGTAATACCCTAAATCGCCGGATCTCTAAGAGTAAGAAAAGGAGTGCGATTTTGATGGAACCCTAGCTTTCTGTCGATTCTTTCAAGGTTGAAGCAGGAAATGAGAAAGAGTTAATTAGGTCATGGAAAAGAGAAGGGGTTTTCGGCTGGTAGAAGATGAGAACAAGGCGGGGGTTTTAATTTTTGGGGATTTGATTTCCCTAATTAGCTATTAAAGATGGAGAACGTGCGTTTGATGAAAACTTTATAAAACGACATGCTTAGACGACACGCCTTTTATGCTGAGTTCCCTTCGTGTTTTTTTTCTACACTAATTTTAAGGGCACGCAAAAATGCATGTCCTAAATCCTTCAAATTTTAGAAGAGATGACATTATTTTTAGGACACACAATTTTGCGTATCGTAAATCACTGCGTGTCATGGTTTGCGTGTCATTAAAGTCCTATATTCTAGTAGTGAGAGATACAGGGGAGGGTGGGTTTTTTTTGAGTTGCAGGTATGTGTATCTACGTGTGAAGTGTTTTTTTTGTGTTTTGATATTTGATAAGTGGTTATGAAGAACATGATTTTGGTTTTTTTTTTGTTAGTTTGATTTTGGTTTCAATTTGAATGGTCTTTCATCCTCACGCATCTAGAACAAAGGTGAATTTTAATGGTTAAAGTGTTTAACAGAGAGAAAGAGAAGGGATGGAGACAACAATAGGGGTGGTGTGAAGGAGAAGGGGGAGAGAGAGTCAAAGAGAGGAAGAAACTCAAAAAGAGGGGGGCGTACGTGTGGGTACGTTTTTTTTTTTTTTTTTTTTTTAATTTGAAAAGCTATTAATATAGAATTAAAAAACAGAAAAAAGAAATAAAAAGAGTAAAACAGTCTTTTCAAGTTGTCCAAGGACCAAAACCAGAGAAAATTCTTTATTTTGGACCTTCAATGCAAGTTGAAAACTTTTTGGACCATATCCACAATTTTTTTAAATACCAGAGCGACCAACTTTACAGTTTTGTCTTATATAATTGTTCTCATTTGAACCTAAGTGTGTATATATATATATATATATATATATATATATATATATATATATATTATATATATATATATATATATATATATATCTATATATATAATAACACCACTTAGGTTCAAATGAGAACAATTATATAAGACAAAACTGTAAAGTTGGTCGCTCTGGTATTAAAAAAAATTGTGGATATGGTCCAAAAGGTTTTCAACTTATATATATATATATATATATATATATATATATATATAAGTTGGATCGAGTGAGGACTCAAAAATAAGTGAGCACTGCGATGGCAAATCTTTGCCGCATGATTGAAAAATAAAAGATGGAGATTTGATTTTATTTAACGTCAATATCTCGCTAGATGATATGACGTTTTTGTAATTATGTATGAGATTTTGATATTTTTCGGCAAATGTTAATTATTTGGAGTTTAAATAGGTAAAAGGAAAGAGGAAAACAAAAAAAGAACAAACCCCCCCCCCCCCCCAATGCGTTGTGTAATTCTCTACAAAACGTGTGGGTACATTTTTTTTTGTTTTTAAATTGAAAATGTATTAATATAGAATTAAAAAACAGAAAAAAGAAATAAAAAGAGTAAAGCGGTCTTTTCAAGTTGTCCAAGGATCAAAACCACAGAAAATTCTTGATTTTGGACCTTCAATGCAAGTTGAAAACTTTTTGGACCACATCCGCAATTTTTTTTAATACCAGAGCGACCAACTTTACTGTTTTGTCTTATATAATTGTTCTCATTTGAACTTAAGTCTATATGTATATATATATATATATATATATATATATATATATATATATATATATATATAAAAGTTAGATCGAGTGAGGATTCAAAAATAAGTGAGCACTGCGAGGGCAAATCTTTGCCGCATGATTGAAAAATAAAAGATGGAGATTTGATTTTATTTAACGTCAATATGTCGCGAGATGATATGACGTTTTTGTAATTATGTATGAGATTTTGATATTTTTCGGCAAATGTTAATTATTTGGAGTTTAAATAGGTAAAAGGAAAGAGGAAAACAAAAAAGAACCCCCCCCCCCCCCCTCGGTTGCGTGTTTAATTCTCTACAAAATGTGCACAATCATCAAAACTTGAAAAAATTATTTGTTTTATAAAAAAACTAAAAAAAAAAATTCTCCAAAAATTATAAAAATTTAAGGGATACTTCTACTAAATATACTAGTGACTTTGTATGAATATTTTTTTCAAAATAAGTTTTTGAAGTATTAATTTTTAGTTTAAGAAATATTAATTTAAAAAAATGTTAACATAATATGATCTAAAATGTGATGACTCAAAATATTTATGATTCAAAAAAAACTTTTGATTCAACTTGTTTATCATCCTTTTTTTTATAATCTAAAAATATTTAGATTCAAATATTTTATAATCCTTAATTATATCTTTTATGATTCAAAATTAAATGATTCAAAATATATGATTATACATAAGTTTTTTTTAAACAAAAACTATATTAAATTGAATATATATTATTGATCCAAAATCATATGATTCAAAAATGATTTGATTCAAAATACTATATTACAAATAATTTGTTTCAAAGTTTTGTGATCCAAAAATAATATGATTAAAAAAAAGTATGAACGAAAAATATTATGATCCTTAATATTTTTCTTATTTAAAATTTTATAATGGTTGAACATTAAAAGATCAAACAGATATTTAGATAAAAAAATAAAAAAAATAAAAAAAGCAAAAAATAAATCAAAAAATAAAAACAAAAATAAATAAAAACACTATTATCTTCAATTATGTAGTAAAGATATTAAAAAAACGAAAAAAATGAATTAAAAAAAAGAAAAATTAAAAAATTAAAAAAATTAAAAAAACAAAAAAAAATTAAAAACGTTAAAACCGAGCATATATCAGTCAAATTTTTTTGTTGAATATTTTTAATGAAAAATAAAAAAATAAAAAAATGAAGAAAAAAAAATAAACGAAAATAAATAATAAAACACATTTAAAAGACGTTCCATGGACGTTCACCGCACATGATTAAATCATCGAGTCCGTATTAATTATCACAGGCGTGAGTCGCATGCGAACGCATCACGTCCAAGTATTGGATTTGAAAATTACCACATGGGTCGAATTTTGTTTTCTTTTAATATTTTTGGTTTTCCCACTTGTACCCTCCAAACAATTAACCTTCCCCGAAAATTATTAGAATCTCACAATTAATTACCTAAATAAAATCAAATTTTAGCCATTTATTTTTTCACTCTTAAAGCCAAAAATTATCATTGCGGTTCTTACCATTTTTTGAGTTCATACTTGATCCTACCTTTTATATATATATATATATATATATATATATATAGATATATATATATAGATATATATATATATATATATATATATATATATATATATATATATATATATATATATATATATATATATCGTCATCCCCTACATAATTACTTGATATTTTATTATTAATATTATATTTAAAATTTCAAAATTAACAATTGACAATTATATTATAAAGAAGTATTCGGTAATTATAATCATCGATAAGACATCTGTTGGATTAGATGTCTAAGCTCATAACTATAATTGGTATAAAATCGAATTGATAGTAACACAGTCCTTTTGTGTTGCCCTCAAAACTAGCAATTTGATAAGATGATTTTTTGGAGAGAGAGAGAGGGACTGATTTATTATTTGATTAATAAATTGAAATAAATAGTTTATTAATATATTATGAGAATAATATATTATTTAGAAATAATAATATTTAATTAATAATTAATCAGAAATTAATTGGAATTAATTTCGGGGTTAAAAGAATTAATTAAAAGTAC